TGTTCAAATTGGTATTTGGTAAATCCTAACCAATATTTGCATAATATTGAATTATGTTCAATGATATTTAAAATATTATAATTTTGAGTAACACTACTTTTAAGTAAGGAACAAAGGTTGTCTATCTGAGATGCAGTAAAATCTGAACAGTTACTACTCGTGAATAAATTATTCCAATCATTGTGGGGTTCATTTAAATGGTATTCACAAATACGAGCGCACAGTGGCACATAAAATGAGTGATCTATCAGCAATCTCTCTTTAAGTAGTTTAGGTATTAAAAATCTAGATGAATGATTACATGACTTAAAAATACAGTGACGGGAAGTAGAAGCAGCACGCTTATAATTAGCCATAGTAATTGTTGATGCCGCTCTGGAAATGGCAGGGGTTACAGGTGCAGGTATAGGGGGTGGTTGTGGGATGTTACCGATGTCTTCTATATTCATGGATTGTAGCTCAATATCCCTGTTCTCATTTTGTTGTCTCTGTCTCCATACAGCTCTGGAAGCCCTCAGCCAGCAAGGACTGCATACTCGTTCTAAACGATCCACCTGAAAAAAGTTATTTTTTATCAACTAACAAAATGAACTATAGTTTTACAGTGTCTACTCTAAATATTAATAATATTTATTATTGTTCTATTTATTTCAATCTTTCTAACACTAAATAGTTTTAATGTCTTTTAAAATTATAAATATTAGCATGCAATTGTTTCCCCTCATAATATTTTTGTGGCACTACTTATTTAAATAGAAATAAATAATACATCACATATCAGACAAGAAGTAATTATTTTAGAATTATTAACAATATTTCACTAAGCCCAAGTTCTTTAAAGTTTCAGATAACATTGAATGATTAAATTGAAAAACTGTCATTCTTTACGAGTTGGGGTACTTTCAACTAATTATAAATAATTTTGTAAATCTTAACAAAACAGAAAAGATTTGATCTTGATTCTCTAGGGTGAAATATCGATTCACTAGATCGATTTAGTACTATATATCGATATGACATTGACAGATAAAACGTCAAAAACGTGAGAATATTTAATTAATTAGTTGTTTACCAATATTTTCAAAAAATAAATAAAAATACTTCGATGCTGCTCCGGTAGCAAAACTCGCGTGTAGGTGCTTCAGATAAACTCCCTTGACGCCCCCCACAGTAACAGAATCTTCAAATTGAGGCGACCGAATTGTAAACCCAACCCGTTTTATTTATACTAATGTCTTTTAAGGTAAAAAATATTACTTGTATAATAAGTACAAAAGCATACAAATATGGGTGTAAGATAAGGAAGAAGTATCGTTCATCTAATAACTAAAAATAAAAAAATTGGTTATTAATGGCAAATATCCCCCCATAAGACAATCTATGTTCAGCAGTAGACTTTTGGTAGACTGTAAATTTAAAGATAACCTGTTAGTGAACTGCCATGTTGAATGAGCATAAATATCAGACCAAATTGTATGCAAGGTGTCTGATTTTACAAACATCAATCTGTGTACCAAAGCGATTGTGGCAAATCCTCTGGGCTGCCTATTTGAGGCAGGGGACCATTTACAGCCTTTTAAAATAAGGTAAGTACCTGGTGTGATGGTATCTCTTTCTTCAGAGTTAATAGGCACAATCCGTCTACGGTGTGCTCTTAACATTGAAGATCCACATGGAATACAAATATTCCTGTACCCAAATCTTCTAATGGAGTGAGCTGATGCAACACTTTCTTGCAATATTCTTAGGCAGTTACAACAAACTGCATCAAGTGGGTGTAACTGAAAAAATCAGGAATTAAAAATAAAAGAGTAAATAAATATTAAGTTCAGATAAATGTACATTTTGAGGAGGGAAGCGAAGTTGGCATGAAAGTGAATGTTTGATGTGGAACCCTATATTATTTGAAATACAATACATTTTCAATTAAAAAAAAAATTGGAAATCCAAAAGACAAATATCGATTAATATATTATGATTTTACAATATTTACAGTATTTCAGGTATATCATATAGTGATAAATAAACTTTATAATATTAGAGTATTATGGAGTTGTGTAATATTAGTAATATATGGGGGAGGCCTATGTTCGGCAGTGGAGTTTAATTGGCTGTAACGGTAATATTACAGTGGATTGAAATATTTTTCATTGCACAAAATAACTTACTTTTCTATTTACATAATATTTTATCCTTAGAATAAATATTGACACATATATACCTATACTTTTTCGACTTTGATTTCTGATTGACTGACAAAAGATAATTAGACACACATAACATGTGATACATCATACCATGCCACAAAAACTTCTTTTGTGTATATTGTGTGACTTTATTTTATCTATTATTTAAATTAGATTTCACTAATAACATAAAACTTCAATACTTTAACATTTAACACATTAGTAAGACCTGTGTTTATCATTTGTTAAAGGTTAATTCAGTATAAGTTATAGATTTTACAAAATTCTAGGAGGAAAAAATAAACTTTTATATTACTCACATGGACTTTTACTCGTCAGTTTGCATTTTCGAATGTCATTGGCAAATTATATACATAAATGTGATATAGGTATTTAATATTTGACTTACGTGCATGATATAACCCTTAGGTTAAACATTTTTTGCATCAATTAGACATTAACATACTAATCCACTTGTAAGCAGTAAAACTACGTGAATTTTCATTTTTAAACTTTTACTTTAACACGAACACAGTTTACATCAATTTAAACAAACAAGTTTATGCCATATTATATTTTTACAGTCAATGCCAGTCAATGGAGTCAATGCAAAGAACTATGCCTGTAAGTTGGTAAATAGCAGGAAAGAATGCAGTGTCATCTTGTGTCAAAATATAAAATAATTCAATCAATATAATATATCATTTATCAATTTAATATAACGAAAGATTAAAATTATAGCTATAGAAGGTATGAATTTATTAATAATATGAAGGGATATTTATTATTACTTTTAAAAACTTAAAATAATTAAGTACTTAATCATGTATAGATCGTTATGTGTGCCTGGAGTCTGTGGATCGTTTTCTTTCGTATTATTTCTAAAAAATCGTACCATATCCCATATTATTCAACAAAAATAAAAATATTAAGTAATACATTAATAAAGAAAATATATAATTTTCGTTTCCGCAGTATAGTAATATTGTTGGAATAAAATCGAGAGTAACAAAAATAATATATATTTCTCATAAAAGTTTAAATCTAGATAATATGTAAGTAGATAGATTGTATAGTGCAGTGATTAGCTTTCCATGAGATAATATTATACCTACCTCATGAGAAATCCACACAGATAAAAGTTGGCGCACATCAGCAGTTGTCTCGGCCAGTAATTGTCTTCGCACACTGCGTTGAAACCTGACTCCACAATTGCAACATACACTTCTATTTTCATTGTATGCTGATCTAGCAGATTCCATTTTCTTAAAATCGCATATAAATACAAAAAAACAGTAGCGTAACGAATAGGAGTGGTCGTTACAAAACGTAACTAGTTACTGAAACTATCTATTCACACAATAGCGGATAGCGGGTTATTGCAGTGCAACGAAACTATCTATTACAGTAGACGTTTTACTCAATAACACGATTCACGTTTCACGAACGAGCAATCAGTAACAAAACGTTTATTCGGCTATTTTCGCGACGCATCGGCGACGGCTTCGGCTGTTGAAGTAGAAGCACATGAGTAAAGAAACCGACTCTTTACGCTGTGGTAGAAGTACCACCGCCACCGGTCGTTGAAAGTCGAGTGAGCGCGGGTGCTTTTGCATTTGACCTATGACTCCATTCCCTTCGTATAGATGCGATATTAGAAATGAGAAAGTAAGTGTACATGTTTTTAGCAAAAAATAGTTAAAATACCATAGTTTAAGTGGCCTTGGCCCGGTTTAAATTAGTCTTGTGTTTAAGTTTAATGACACGGTTTGTTTTTACTTTTTAGGCGCGTTTGTTAATATTATTGTTTTCTTTTGGTGTAATAATAATAATATTTTAGTAAAATAAGAACTAAATACAATTGTATATATTGGTGTTGATAATAATAATTGTACAGTAATTAGTGTAAGTAACTAAGTATAAAAATAATACTAAAACTTTATGTGATAGTTATCAAAAATGTCTCGAAGTAATGCCAGTGTACTTTTAAGTGATATTTTTATCAAACCGTGCGAACTGATTTAACAAATAAATAAATTTAACCATTACCACCATGTCTAATTCTATACGAAACGGTAACAACGGTCGCAACATTTTTCAATTGAACACGTCGTGAAACACTCTATTGAAGCCGCTATTAAAATAGAGTGTTTCAAAACCCTCTATTAAAATAGAGTGTTTCAAAAGCCGCTATTGATATTCGATAGATAGTTTCGTTTCGTTACTCAAAAAAGCCGCTACTACCCACCGCTAGTAACGAACGTCAATGCCGTTAAGATTAAAGACGTAGGTAATACCCCGCCGCCCCGCCCCGCCGTACCCGGCCGCCGGCCGCTGGGAATTACCGGAAGTCAATGATAAAATAACGTTTTGGTTCACAGTCATTTAGAACTATGTTATAACGTGATATTAGCTAAAATTTTTAGAAATTAAACATAAAGTACTTAGTGGTATCTTTTTTAAGTCAGCTTTGTGAAAAAATAGTTTTCTTTTTATACAAGCTGCAAAATGACTAATTAGGTACACGCATTTTACCCATATTACACTAATCAGAACACGAATATCAAAACAACTAATTTTTTTTCGTATTTCTTGATTCCGTTTACATTTTCGAAAAATCTGTAGGCCATTTACTATTATAATTTGGTGTCTTTTTTTTGATGTAATACCATTAGTGGACGTTAATATTTTTAGTGGGCCCAAAAATGACTGTCCCCTTTAAGGTATCAATTGTTCTACAACTGCAAACTCGACATGGATTAGGCACAACAATTTTAAAATATTTTTGGATTTATATTGTGTGAATGATTTCAGCCGATCAAGGTCTCGTCGCCGCACTCGTTCCCGCTCGCCAAGGTCTGGATCCCGTTCACGCAGTCGTTCCCGCTCCCGCTCTCGCTCCAAGGGAAGATCCATGTCACGGTCCAGATCACGATCTGCGTCCAAAGATTCTAAGAAGTCTAATTAAAAGCATAATGCCACTAACAAAATTATTGTAGTTTTAAATATTCCAGCATTTTGATTTATTTTAATATTAAGACATCACATACATGTGTCCATCCAACTTGTGAAAGAATTGTATTGTCATTCCTATTAACTGATGTGACGTTTGAAGGATACAATGAATTATTGATTGTGAAATCAATAAATTGACATTACTATTTATATTTTGTTTTAATAGCTTTTGAGTCCAATGTGATGAAAATTAAATAAAGGTTTTCCTTGGATCATCCTTTTTTAATAGTTACTAAGGTTTACATATTTGCTTGTCTTTTAGGCAGGTGGATTAGTGAGTGTAGAACCCAAACTCTTCACTTGTGAAGCTATTCTTCATGGGAGACTATTTATAGAAGAAAAAGAAAAACAAATGTTATAGTATGAAATGACACATAGGGTTGCCCCCCGTATTATGATGTATACTACTGTATTTCAGTCAAATGTTACTATATATTATAGAAAAATAATATAGTACGAGAAATACTATATTTTATACCTAATTCCACAGTCGTGCTTTTATATATTAACTGGGATTGGAAGTCTGGAACAAGTTTTAAGGAAAGAATTTTCTCCGTCATGTGTGTAAAATGGAAAGAATAAAGAAATGGATCTTGTATGTGGGCGGTTTTATAAAAGTTTGTATGGTGACAAAATGACGCCAAAAAAAAATTTGTCATGATATTGGGGGTTTCTTACTTCGGATTGATTCTATAATATCTAAATTTTGTTATAATAAAAAGGAATAAGAGAAAATGCGGTAGAATTTGACAAAATTACAATTTGAATGGACAATGACGTGAAATCTTCTTCCGCTGCGTTACACATTAAGTACTCCCGTTTATAATTAAATTAAAAGAAAAGTACAATTAACAATCTTTATTTATTAAAGAAACTAAACATTTTATTTTAAATTCTCTCAAAAATTTCTAAAACACTATTTAAACATAAAAAGAAACATAATTTTCTATCTTCTGAGTTACACTGTGATTAAATTAACATAATAAAGTTTTGTTTATTTGGCAAAAAGCGAGATCTAAATTAAAACTTAAATAAGTAATTAAATACAAGTATCGAGAAGGTTAATATTAATTAAATATATGAGATCTTCTTTATTTAACAATAAAAACATTAAATAAAATAAGTTTCCTCAACAGGGGACTGTCACTCAGCGGAAGTGTATGGAAAAATTTAGGCATAGTTTACAATAAACACTTTATGTACCATAAAAAATAAAGAGAAAACGAAATTATTAAAGGTCTACTCACCAAAACAAATATCACAAATAAAATCGTTGTAACAATCTTTGGGTATAATCCAACTATCGCAAGTAAAACAAACAAAATTTTTACACGCAATACATTTTTTCATTAATTGCAATGATGTTCGAATTTTACATTTATGGCACTCAGAGTAACGGCTGACGACATTTCTAATAGACTTTTTCTGTTTATTGGAAAAATATTTTCTTTTTCTGTATTTAATTTAGGTAGGTATCTTTTGTGCTTTAATTTCCCACTTCTCTTCTTGAATGCAATTTCGCATTCTATTGGTTATTTTATGTTTGCTGTTGTCGACATTGACGTCTGTCTCGTCCAAAACTTCTAGATCATCACATATTTCTTCAAAATTATTTAAATCAAATAACAAATCTTTATCTAAAGGAATTATAATTGAATCAAATGCCGCACCACTGATCTCGTATCCTTTGCCTTGTCCCTTTTTTTCTTCCGATCCTATTATCTCACCACTGACTTCTTTGCCTATTTTTTCTTTATCCTTTTCTCTACATTTAAATGTTGCATAATAAATTTCTTCTACTCTCTCTTGTTTTTTCTTTTCCTGTCCACTGTCGCTAACCATTTCTACTTCTATAATGTCTTCCTCTTCCCCACAATTAGGTAGGAATTTTACCAGGCGGTCCCATAATGAACTGACCTGATATAGTTCAACGCGACATGTCGCTACATGTTGTGTTGCATTAAATAGTACGTTTATCGTGCACTTAATATAAGAAACATGCATCGACATGAAATGCTTAGTCTTAGTTTAACAGGCATTTGAATAACGAGAGTCGCGTATTTTTTCAAAATGTCGAAAACTGAGTATCGAAGTGTCATAAAGTTTCTGTTTAAAGAAGGTTTATCCCCTGCCCAAATAAAAGAACGATTGGATGGCGTGTATAAGGAGTCTGCCCCCTCCTATAGCACAGTGAAAAATTGGGTGAAAGAGTTTCGCCTCGGGAGAGAAACCGTCGAAGACTTTGGCCACGACGGTCGACCTGTGGAAGTGCTCACTCCCGAAACGATTGCTCTTATCGAAGAGGAGGTTCTGAGTGACCGCCGTTTGAAGATAAGAGAAATTGCAGCAAGGCTTGGGCTCTCTAAGAGTACCACTCATCGCGCGATCCATGAACATCTTCACATGAAAAAAGTGAGTGCAAGATGGGTACCGAAACTTCTTTCAGCGGTACAGAGACAGGAAAGAGTGCGCTGCGCTTCGGAGTTTTTGGATCTTTGTGGCGAAAATCCAAAGACTGTGATCGAGCGGCTAGTGACTGGATGATGAAACTATGATCTTGTATTATGATCCACAAAGCAAGCGCGAGTCAATGGAATGGCGTTATAAGGGTGAAAAGCCCCCTAGAAAGGCAAAGGTACAACAATCGACTAAAAAACTGATGTGCACAATATTTTGGTATTTTCAAGGCATTTTGATGGTGGATTTTAAAGAACGTAATACATTCGTGAACGGCGAATATTATGCTTCTTTAATATATAAATTACGAGACAAGATAAAGGAAAAACGAAGAGGCAAGCTGTCTAAAGGTGTCCTGTTGCTCCATGACAACGCCCCTGTTCATACCGCTGGTGTTTCGAAGGATGCAGTTCGTCAATGCGGGTTCACAGAAGTTCAACATCCACCTTAAAGTCCAGACATGGCCCCTTCTGACTATTATTTATTTCCAAATTTAAAGCGGGACTTAAGAGGAAGAAAATTTTCAAGCGATGAAGAGTTGCAGGCGGCCGTCTTCAGTCATTTTGAGGATAAAAAATGTGATTATTTTTATAAAGGTTTAGAGATGTTGATTCACAGATGTCAGAAGTGTGTTAGTATTCATGGTGATTATATTGAAAAATAAAATTGGTTTCGTTTCATTTTCTTCATTGGTTCATAGTTAGGCCAATTCATTATGGGACCGCCTACGTATGTGTTTGTTTAGACGAGACAGATACAACTTTTTTTGAACTAAGGATTAGCATTGCATGAGTTTCAGCTGTTATTGTAACTTTACTAGTACGATTAGAGCAACTCGGTTCAGTTTTTTAGAATGGTTTTCCGTAGGTATGAGTAAATAAGCCAAAGCAATCACACAATCCTCTGTGGAAGCCACAAAAACAAGATAGTGGGCGATATTGAATTTCTCCAGGTGATTTAACAATAACTTGGTGTGTCTGCATAGTGCCTGTTAAAGGCTTCAAGTCTTCAGGAACCAGTTTATTTGTGTTGTCTATATCATTGTCAATTATATAAAGACATTTCATTGCATTCATGCATTTTGACAATATCTTCACAGCTTGCTCACCACAGGAAACATCATTACCATAAGCTACCTGTTTGTCCAGGGACCTCTTTACTGCACCACCTATTCCATCTGCTACTCTTTTTTATTTGTTTCTTTATTATAGCGATATAGGCGTTTTCTTGACGTCTCAAGTGCTGTTTTCAAATTTTGAATTTTTTTTTATGGTTGCATTATATTTACGGGCTAATCTATTTCTTAACGTCCTCTTCTTATTTCGAGTATTCACAGTAGATGATATATTTTTGTCATTTTTACCCTGAGTTTTATTTTTTACTATTGCTGCATGTTTTTTCTTGACTTGTTTGTATTTTTGTGGATCTGCTTTCAACTTCTCTCTATATTTTTTCATGCGTTCCGCAGGAGTGAGAGCCATTTTGACACCTAATAAACCAATATAAATGATTAAATTCTACTGATATAATAAATGCGAGAGTATGGATGTTTGTTCGTTACTCAATCACGCTGAAACGGTTGAAGACAAAGTGGCAGTTTGCCGCTTGTTTAATATAAAATTCAAATTACTGTCTAGTGGTGCATCCACACATGCCCGGCGGCACGGCCGGCGGCCAATCCGGCGGCCAGGCCGCCGGCCCTCCCCTGCGGCACGCGCGGCTTTTGGTTGCCGGCGGCAGTTTGCTTGCGGCTTCGATACGGAGTGGTAGTGTTGTAGTATTCGTGAATAACATAATTTCATATACTTAAACAACGAAATGACAGAATTTAACTGGGATAATAGTGCAGTACTTTTACTAATAGAAAAGTATCAAGAAAATGAACTATTGTGGAACCCAAGGCATATGGATTTCAAAAATCGCAACAAAAGAAATGATGCTATTAGAGATATTGCTTCTGTGTTTAACATAGCATCATCAGAAATTGAGAGAAAACTGAAGAATTCATCCAGCCATTATTTTCGAGAAAAACGCAAATATGAAGAATCTAAAAGGAGTGGATCTGGACGGGAAGATGTTCAATTGCCGAAATGGTTTGCTTATAAGGCGTTATCATTTCTTAATGACAAGAATGCACCGGTACCGACTCTGAACAGCCACACATCTAAAGTAAGTACCCATCAAATTCTTATAATTAAGTAGACTAGTTGGTCGCCCATTGGTCGAAAATCGACCATAATTAATTTAAAATACATTATTTCAATAAGTAATATTTTCGTAAATAGGGGTACAAAGTTTTTGCCTCGCGTATTAATATTAGATACCTACTACCTACTGTAGTGTGATAGGGCAGGTTAAAATAAACCTATCATTTAAACACTACTTTTATAAAGAAATATAAATGTTTATTAACATCGATAAAACTAAAACAATAATGCGCGGTGTTAGTAACGAAAAGACATGCATTCGCCGTAGATGTTAAGCTTGTTTGTAATT